TGAAAAATTACATTATTTTTTTTTCAAAATTTTGAGTTGCTTACTCTGAGTATATTTCCTTTGTGAATTGACTACTGCATTTTGCCTGTACTAAATACTTGTTGATCATCTATATACTATGTCGTTAGAAGGTTATATTCCATTTTTTCGCATTTTCTTAGGATTTTTTCCTATTTTCACCATACGAGAAAAATCGATAAAATAGGTTTTAGTAAAATGAGTGCCATTCGAGAACTACAAATGCTAGAGAGGTAGGCCTTGCGTCATTTTGTAGGGGAGCCCTTGGGCTGTCTCTTGCATGGTTTAGATATATAGGTCTCTATAAAAATTCAAAAAACGGCATCATACTCTTTAAAAGATTGTTAATGCTGGAACACTGAATCTACTTGAATTTTCAGCGTTTATCGACAGATATATAGAGTACTCAAGTACCTTCATAATGGTGAAAACCGCAGCTCTCTAGCTCTTTCTGTTCTCGAGTTATTCCAAAAATATCCGAGTCCACTATTTTTTTAAACAGACAGTAGAACTAATAATTTATTGCTTTTGTTATTGCAATTATAGATTCTATATAAAGATTGTAGGAAACGAACGTTTAGATTTTATCGAACAATTGTATATCCTATTATGTATTTATTTCTCTATAGGTCCATTTCTCCGAACAATATTTTCCAAATTAGAAAATATGTTACAAAATCCTTTACATGTAAATCTTTTATTAACTGGTATAATCTCACGATTAGCACATTATTCTCAACCATTATTACGTTCATTATTATTGAATCATAGTCTTGTACTCGAAACAAATGTCAAATCACTTTTTCAAGTAAAATGAATAATATGGAAAAGCAAAATGTTTTTTCTTAATCTTATTGTTTTAGATTCTTTCAAATCTCAAATCAAAACTTGAAACTATTTCTCAAACATATAATGATTTTAATAATCTTGTTCAATTAGCTCATGAAACATTATATCAAAGAGAAAATAATACTAAAGTATATTTATTTTAATGTATATATATATATAAGTTATGTTTGTTTTTTCTTTAGGAATCTGAGGAATCATCTAGACGAACACGTTCTCCATCACGTACACGATCAAAATCAGCTGATCCTGGAAAAGGTAAATAAACAAAACTAAAAAAAGATTTTCCTTCTATTACTTTTATTTCCAGAAGAAGAACGAGTTTTTTTTGAAATTCAACAATTACCTATAAAAGGTTGTGCATGTACTATTATTTGCAGTTGATTTCTTGTATTTTTTTATCTCGCATGTTTAGTTGTCATAATTTCCCATATTGTTTTTTCTAGTTTCTTATATGAGAAAGAAAAAGAAAAATTATTATTTATTTTTATTAATTTAGAACCTGTCTCAAAACGAACACGTATTATGAACTTTTTTCGTGGTCGTAGTCGAGTATCCGAAAGAGTAGATAATAATATCAAAGAACGTGATTATTCTCAAGTAACATTAATTGATAAAACATCAATGAAGTAATATATTTAGAAATAAATTCAAAATAAAATAATTTTTTTTTTCTTAAGGTTTATTAATATTCGTGAAAATCATCAATCTGTATCTGTAAGTGAATGGGATGATCCTAAAACACGTAATATTGCTTATTGTGCTGTTATATTTAATGAATTTCTCAAAGAACTTGCCGCTATTACATTAGAACATAGCGTACAACAATTTGATGATGATCAAATATTTGACGATATTTCATCAATACAATTATTATATTAAATATTTTTTTTCTGTTCTTATAATTCATTTACGATCATAATCTGAATATATTTTTCTATCAATCGGTAATAATCCCTCATATGTTTTGTTATGTATTTATGAAATTGTAATATTTATTTGTCAAAAGAAGAAGAAGATGATATTGTGTTCTTTTTTTTTATATTATATGTATTTATTAGATAAGAAGACAAAAAAAATAGATACTTATTATTGGAGATTTATTTGAATAATGATGAGAATATTATATTCAATCATGTTTGTTTTTTCTTTCTTTTTGATTATTGATAAATATGCAGAATCTCTTATATAAACTTAGAGGATAATTGTTGATTAAAAGGTTAGAGTTCCAAGTTCGAAAAAATCAACCTTCGTAGTCTATATATGTTTAAGTCCTTGGTTTGATAATAATGTATACAATTTCTAAAATATGTCAGAAGTGAGACATACGAAGGATATTAGATAGAATACTTGAGAGAAAAGCTCCTTCATTAGTCCGTATTCATTTGCACTATCATTACAAACAATTCTTATATATATATCAACACGTTTAAAAAGTAAATTTAAAATCAAGAAACTTGTAAGTAATTAGAGACATCAAATGAAAAATCATTTTAATGGAACGAATAGTTCCTTAAAAATCTTTTCATTATTTATTATTTATTATCCATTAATATTAATTATTCTTGGTACTATATTAAATCTTTTAACATTTATTATTCTCTGTCGAACAACATTTAAAAATGCAAGAAAACGACCAACAATTCATTATATGCGTACAATAGCTATATTTGATATATTAATATTATACGGATGGAATTTAGATCAATATCTTGAAAGAACGATTGGTATTAAAATGACAAATTATTCAGTAATATCATGTAAAATATTTACATTTTTAAATTATTTTATTTATCATGTATCAGCATGGTTACGTGTATTTATTTGTTTTGATCGTTATTTATCATTAAGTCGTTTACATCGAACATGGTTTAGTATATCGAAAAATGTTCTAATTCTTATTAGTTTTCTAATGCTAATTTTTATTTTAATTAATTTACATATATTTCCTTTTGTTTGTTATTATGAAAATGATCAAGTTAATATCGAATCACGTTATTATACAATTTATCCAATGTGGGATCGTGTTAATTTAATTATATATAATTGTCTTCCATTTTCATTTATGATTATATTTAATAGTGGAATTATTTATCATTTAATTTTATTACGACGTATAAGTACAGTACGAAAAACTTCTCGAATACAACATCGATCAATTTCAATCACATTACTTTTAACAACATGTTTATTTTTTCTAATGACAACACCAGTGTCAATTGCATATGCATATTTTTCACATAGATATGAACATATTTTATATGCACTTGATTCAATTCTTTATACTTATCATATTTTAGGTTTTCCTGTTTATTTTTTAACATTTAGAGAATTTCGAAGAGAATTTTTCAAATTAATTACATTATATAATTGTCGAAAATGTAAAAATTTATCAACCATACATCATGATACAACTATTAAAAATGTTGTAAATCATTTATTTATAATATCTGATACATCTTTAAAATAGAAAATAAATATTTTAAAAATTATTAATATTTTTTATTCTATAAAATATCATAAATATTTCATTTAATTCATATAGAATAATATAAGTTTTACTATGTAAAGACTTTATAACCAAGGGTGGGCGGCGCTAGTCTTTGCCTGGACACCAGCAGAAAATAACCTAATAATTACCATCATTTACACTACTTTTTACACATTGTTTTCAAGGATCATAGGGCAGCCGCAATTTTCTGGTTACGCTACTAGCTGTAATCTTTCAACAGATTATCGATCAATTATTATACTAGTTTAGAAAAAGGTACTTTTGATATTTATATACGAAAATCTGCTTGCATTTTTCTATGTCATAACAAAAAATTACTCATAGATCTAATCATGAATAAAACTATGGAAATTTGTCAGACGAATTTTCTATATCTTTATGTATTACAGGAAAACCTCCCTAATATGAACACCATCGGGATCGAAAAAAAGTGTTCACTATAGAGAGCTAATATATAACATAGCCTGAAATGGAAGAAATCTTAGAATATTTGCTTATACCTTTATAGTAGAGAAACATCCGAGTATTTATTCTATTGTTCATTTATTATTAGTTAAACGATTTTAATTAAAAAAAATTCGAACTACAATACAAAAACGAGTAGCTGCCTAATTCGAGTTCGAATATAAGTGGATATTAGAAAAAGAAAAGTCAATACCTACTGCTAAGAATAGATTTTGTTCTAGAATAATTTTCAGATAAATCCACCTCACCTACCTCTTGATCGTATATATGAATCATATACATTTTACAGTAAAACTAAAACTGAATCTATTCCTAAATTTTCACCATTTATTTTCGAATTCGAACTAGGCAGCTCATCAAAACATATGACAGAAAGTGGAAAGAGATAAAAAAAACATTGTATATATGTACACATTGGAGAGGTGACAATACCAGACGGACCCGAAAAAAAGCGTTCACTGTTCAGAATAAAAAGATGTCCATATTGGAGAGATGCATTTCCAGCAAAAGTCGCTCCGTCGGATCTGAGACCGTTCATAAAACAGAGGATTTTACTGTAATTCTATCAATTGCGAATATGAGGAAATATATTGTATATAATTTATTTATCTGAACTTAGAAGAAAAAAACAAAATTTATTTTTAATAATTATTAAAGCTTAACAAGTGCAAAAAAAAGGAAATGTACAAATGTTAATAAGAACAAAATTCATTTGATGATAAACAATGATTCATATCCATCGTACAATCACCTGTACTTGTTGTTGCTATTGGATCAAGTCCAATCATTTCAACTTCATTTTTAAATATATCTAATAAATGTTCAATATCATCTGTATAGATATTTTCATGTTCAATCATTTGAATTGGTTCATTAAAATTTGTTGGCATATGAACAGTTGGTAATGTATCTGAAAGTGATGGATCATTTTTAAGTAACATATATCGAGATGTTCGTTGTTGTTGTTGTTGTTGTGTCGATGGTTGTGAATAATCAAAATAGAATGATTCAGATGATAATGATTGTGTAGGATAAATAGGAAGAATTTGTTCAGAATGAAAACGTTTTGTCTGATGATGATATGATGATGTTGTTGATGAATCAAATTTACGTTTTGATGTTTGATTATGATATGATTGATGAGAATAGTATTGATTCTCTTCATTTGAACATTGATGATTATGAGTAAATGCCGGTATTGATGAACGTATTGTTTGACCATTAACAACTGTAAATGGTTTATTTATTCGTTCAATTTTTTTATTTTTATTTTCATGATTATTATATTCATTTGATGTTGAATAACGTTGTTGTTGTTGTTGTTTAGTATTATTCATTTGTATAAGCCATGATAAATCAGTTAAATCATCATCAATTTGTACAGATTTATTTTCAATCTTAAAAGAAAAGAAAAGAAAAGAAAAGATATTTTTATTTTTCTTGAAAAGTAACTTACTGTTGCAACTGGCATTTGTTCAATTGTTAAGATATTTATTTCTGTCTATGTATATAACACCTTCAGTCTATTTAAATATGAAAATTCTTTTTTTTCTTTTTCTTCTCTTTTCGTTTATTATATAATATAGTACTGAGTGGTATGTATATCGATTGAATAGCTTAAGATAATGATTGTTGCTGCTCATAGTGATGATGTCATATATTTTTTTGTCTTTCGATGAAATAGAAATGAATATGAGCCGATTGTTGTATTGAAAGATAACAGTGTTATCATTATGAATATAATGGAAAGGAATTTTTTGTATATGATTAGAAATCTAATGAGTGATAATTTATTTGGTATGTACGAGAAAAGATTTTAAAATAAAATTCCAAGAGTGTTTATCTTAAAATATAATCAGTTTAATGAGAAGTTTTCTAGAACAAAAATTACATAGAACATTTATAATCTTATTAGTTAGAGTAGAAAACATTAGATATTCGAATAGTTATTTTTTCTTGGTGGAAATAAAATCAATGAAACGACTTCTTCTTATAATATCTGCTTGAGTACTTTAAATACTCTTTCCGAAACAAATAATATATTTTATTATTTCTTCGAATATGGCTTAGACATCCATGTTCTTTGCATGTCATCATATTAGTTTTCTTTATTATCATAAAATGATCCCGATAGATTTTCTATTTAAATATTTACTTCTATATCTTCGTTATTATTCTTCTCGTTCAAAAATAATTAAACTAAGAGGAATCTTTTAATGAAAAACTCTATTAGGAATTGTCTCATTTAATTTAAAAGAAAATAAATGTCAAGGAAAAAAAAAACCTCGGTCGCTCTTATTTTAATTAGACAATTAGACGTACTACTTTCCATTTTCTTTTTGAAGAGATCCGTTCCATATTAACCTCATATCTTTGATTACGACACTATATTTTTTCTGCTAATTTCAATCTTTAGTATATTGCACAGACATATATAACGCTTCTCTTTCATCAGAAGTTGTATTCGAACAACCACTTTGTTTTAATGACATTTATAATCACATTGCATGTTTTTGTTTTTTCTCTTCTATGAATATAAATAAATTTGAACGTCCTATTAGATAGATAGATAGGACTATTTGAGTTTTGTTTGTTACTGTTCAAGACTATGTTTATTATTTTAATAAATAAATACTTATATGTATATAATAAGCAAATGAACAATAAGTGACTCGTATTGGTGAAAATAAATACGTTTTTTTGTTTTCTTAATGTTAGAATTATTAGTAAATAAAGTAGATTGATGCACACACAAAAACAAAATGATAAAGAGAAAAGACGTGCAAGTGACATATAGAGAAGAAAAAAAAAGAAAAGTGATTATTCATAGTTTTAAATGTCTTTATTGATTAATCTTTATATGCTCGTTGAAATTCTAGAAGAAGACAAAAAAAAACATAAAGAATTTTATTTGAAAAATAAATATATATGTATACCTTCAAATGTTACGAGACCATCTTTATCCGAATCAATAGCAGCGAATGCTTTGCTAATAGCAGTATCATCCTTATTTGCTTTTGAATAATATGCACGAAATTCTTCTAAAGTTATATGACCATCTTTATCCTAGAAACAAAAAAACAATAAATTTAATTTTTATTAAGAGTAATCTTACTCCATCAAGTCGATCGAATTCAGATCGAAGATCATCCGATGAACCTTTTGTTCCTGACATGTTTTGAACGAAAAGAAATTAAATAATAGAAAGAAATTATCTAGAAATTAAAAAAAATACAATTGCTCTTATTTGTATACTATCCTACATGGATTTTTACTCTTAACATTCGTACTATATACTTCTCTTGTAAAAAAAAAGAGTTAAGTTATATGTTAGTCTTCATTTGTTTCCTTTTTATATATCCTTCTCTCACTCTCTCTTTCTCTTTTTTCTCTCTTATTCTAGTTTTCTAGCAAAAAAAACGTTCCGGGAAAAACGTATTGAGAAAATGACGATCGTGTGTTGTTCTTAAAATATCCCTTATACTACCGGTAAAACACTAGTTTACTCGGTATATATAGTCAATCTTATCGACATTCATTTGTATGTGTAGACAAAGAAGAAAAAAAAAAGAAAAATAACTAATTTACGTTCAATCCATTTTCTAACACTACCGTCTGTTCTTTCTCAAATCTAAAATTCTCTGTTTTTGTTTTTCTTCAAAATAATCTTGTATTACCTTGTCATACTATCGAGATGATTTCCAATTAGATTTAATTAATTATTTATTTTATTATTACTCACAAATTTATTTGTTATCTTGATAATATATTCATTGCTAAGATAAAAATAATTTTTTTTTTCTCTCCATAGAAAAGATTAGACGAAAAGATATATATACATTTTTTTTTGATTATAGAAGTAATGCTTTGTTCTTAATGTTCAAGATGACAGGAAGAACACTAGTACTCTCAAGTGACATTTCAAATTGAATGAGCGATCGATTTTTATCATATAATATAGCTTCTAGCGTTTTGATTTTATTTGAAATCATACCGGATATCATTAAAAAGAAATCAAACTCATTTCACTTGTTGAGTTTTTCAAAATAACGATAAAAAAACATAAAGTGATAAATATTGAGAGACTAAACAAATGTTTTTCACAAACTGATCAATTATTTACAAAGTCTTGTTAAATTCTGAAGAAAAAAAATCTTTTAATTTATCTCATATACATTGTTCAATATTTATTACAAGAACAGATTCTTGGTATTAATAGAATTTAAATGAAAAGAATCATATTACTGAAATACCGTATGTCGAAAACTGTTCTTTCATGAAAAAAAAATTGTAGTGAATTTTATTTTTAAATAGATGTCGTATGATATGATTGGATAGAGAGTCTGTTACTATGACGTTATAAAACAGAATGATGCTTTGATTAAGCATTCGCATATCAAATTGAATATTTAACTTAAACATCATGACTCAAGTACGAAATAAACGTCGAAATGAACGTCTTAGACCAGCACATGATATAATTGGTGGTGAAAATCATAATGATTATCCTACTCAAACATTATTCGAAGAAATTAAAGAAAAAAAAGTATATTATATTTAAAATAATATTTATTAGATATTTAAAATATTGTATTTAGTTGCCATTTGTAAGTAATATTGTTATTATCGGTCGTTTACGAGATACTTGGGATAAACAATCTGAACTTGGAGGTTTGAGTTATTTGTTTTTGTTGGATAAATTTAACTTTTGTTTATAGAGTATTATCAAAAATTTATAAGTTCATTATCAAGTATTATTGAAAAAGGTCTTGAACATCATGAACATAATACACCGGATAGCTATAATACGCAACATGCTACTGGTCTCTTACTTATTTTTCCAACTCTTTTTGTTCATTGTCTTGAAGTAACAAATCCAGCATTAAAACTTGTTCTTGAAGATCTTAATCAATCAATTAATACTCAAGATGGGCTTATTCGAGAAGCATCTATTCTTAATATATCATATAATGTTTGTACTTTTAAAAAAATATTACAATTAAATTTTGTTTTTTCTCTATTAAGATTAAAACACGTATTTATCCAAATTGGACTTTTAAAAGTATTAAATTAGCTGTTGAAGACCTTGATGCTCAACCGGCGGAAACAACAGAAACAATTGCGTTAGAGGTTCTTGGTAAATTATTACGATTAGCTAAATATCAAGCGGAAGAACGACAACGAAATGTAATACTTAAATATTTAATTACAATTTTCAATATTGTATTTCTTTTACTAAAGGAACGACCTATTGATATTCTTGCAAATATTGATCAACAACGAGCTGATCTACTACCTAATCAAGGTAACCATATAAATTTTCTTTTTTTTTCTTGATAATTAAAATTTCTTTTAAGCAAATATTAATTATCTTCTTAAACAACCAATTTTTCGAACAGCAGATGATATTCTTAAAAATTATAAACGTCCAGTGAATATTCGTTTCGAAAGTGGTAAGTAAAATTATTTACTTATTAAATTATTTATAACATTATCTATCTCTATTTTTAGATTTAACTGCACCACCCACTCATCGATTATTTCCAATCACTTTTTAACTATTGCTTTATTTTTTATAACTAATTATGTTCGTTTTTCGTCTTTTTTTTGCGTCATAATAAATGAAAAACCATTCAAAACAAAAGTCACGAATACTTATTGTGTAAAACCTAAACCCGTATTTTATCGTTCGTAGTAATAATAGATCGGCGTCATTCTACGATAAAATTAGTAATATATGACGTCAATCGATTATAATCAATGATATATAAATATCGGATTGATTAAGATAGTAGTCGCTCAATAATAAAATGTACATCAATATGATTCTTTTGATTTTCTTTCTATTTAATTATTTTTCTATAATAAATGGTTTTAATCCAATATCTTTATCGTCGAATTCGCCTAGTGCAACACATGAATCTATAACTCGTTGTGCTTTTGCTATAATAACTAGTGAATATATTCAAACACGATTCCAGATTAATATAACCATACCTACAATAACAAATGGTACATGTCCATCATCATTTTTTATACAATTAAAATCAATCTTTCCACAAGTACAAAAACAAGGTGGAAATTCATATAGTACTTGGATAAATACAATTGATTATATTATTGGATTTAATGCATTAGTTGATGTTGTTGAACAAACAGATGAATCACGTCATTTTGATTCCGAATCATTTATTGCAGCATCACAGATTATTCTTGCACGTTATAAAATAGCTATTGATTCATTAAACTCTTCTGATTATGATAATAGTAATGAATATTTTGGAAAAGTAACACATACATTACAAGGTATTTATTAAAAGACTTTTTTTCGTCATATTATGATTTTAATAAATATATATATAGATTTTTATTCACATTCAAATTGGATTGAATTGAATAATCGAGAACCTCAACAAGATCTTGGTATTAATAATATGACATCTGCTCAATTTGCTGCACCAACAGTTCGAACATGTACAAATTGTTCAACGGGTACAAATGCTATATGTCCATCAAATAATTGTACATTAGCAGGTTTAACAAGTGGTTATTTCAAATTACTTACAGATATTATTCATAAGAAACCAGTAGGTAAATGTTCACATGGTGGTACATTCGATGCAACAAAAAATAATGATGCTATTGGTGGTATTAATAAAGATACCGTTGATTCAATTCATGGATTTTTACATGTACCAGCTGCTCAAACAGCTTATTTAGCAACATATAAAATTTTACGACAATTTCGTAGTCAAGTTCTTGATACACTCTTTGGTAAATTTATTAATATATTAGATCGAAAAGCAGTTTCTAGCAAAATACTTATGCTAGTTTCATCATCATCTAAATCACAACAAGATTCATCATTAGTTTATACAAATATTTTAAATGATATTCGTAAAACAAATATGTTTTCTTCTATTCAAGAAATTGTATTATCACCAGCTAGAGATTCTTATTATAAATCACATATACTTTCAATAGCAACACATAAACATATTAGAATTGATATATTACGTAATTCAATGTATCGACAAAATTCTTTTGATTATGGTCAAGATTTAGCAAGAATTACTGGTGGTCTTTATCTATATAATTATAATAAAAGTCAAGATAATATCAATGTAAATCAAAATCAACAAACGGAATTAATTAATTTATTATATTCAAAAGATTCATCATCAGATAATATTTTAATTAATGTTGACAATACATGTTCAGATCTTATTTTAGAATTTCTTATTAATGATACAATATCATCATTGACAATTCAATTACAAAAGTGGAGTCTAGTTCTTTCACCATCAAATATTCTTACGAATACAACTTATTATAGATCGTATATATTTTCAAATATATTACCTGGTCAATGGAGATTAATTATTTCTTCGTTACCAATTAAATTTACATTTGATTTACGAGTATCATGTTATAGTAAATTTCATTGTTTTTCACGTGTTTATGTAAATAATGATAATGTTATTCATTCTGGTCTTATAGAATTCGAAGGTAATTTAATTCAAAATCAAAATGCTCTTCTCATAACAACATGTGATGATAATTCAATTAATATAACTGATATTTCGGTAGCAATTGTAGATGAAATTAATGGAAATATATTAGGAAATTCATTTCAATCAATTTATAATTCAGAAAATGATCGTTGGATAACAAATTTAACAAGTATTCCATCAAATCCATTTCGTTTTAAATTTTCATTTAATAATCAGCAAATACAACGTTTATCATATCTATTATATCAACCTAGTTTAATCGATGTTGAAATTACTCAAGTTAATACAACATCAAAACAAAACATACTTATCAATTATCGTATTCATAATTATAATAAAAAATCAGTTAAAATAAATTTTATTGCAAAAAATATTGGAACATATATAACTACAAAAGATTATAAATTAAAAGCTAATGCAACTCAGGATGATTATATTGACTTAAAGTCAGAAGCAAATCAAAAGGATATGATTGTCTTAACAATCACAACATCAACAGGGGATTGGAATTATGACGTTTATTCTTTGTAAACTTTTATAAATATTTGCTTTTTTATTTTTTATAAATAAACTATCTTTACATTAACTTCTCTATTCATTATCCCTAATTGAAGCTCAAAAGTATAAACAGCTCCTTTTTCTTTCCTTCATGTGCTGTATAGATCGTATGTGAACAATCCTATATATGTATGCACGCACATGTACATCGAAAAAAGCCGATTGATTCATGAATTTTATCTAATTTTCTTTTTGTGAATAGATTAATAATGTACACGGATTTCGTTTTGTTGAAGAAGAATCAAATGACGGACAACAAGTATTATATAAGATAATGCATAGGGCATATCGAAAGTCTTTATAGAGCGATATCAAATGCTTATAGAATGCTTCAAGAAATTTTCTTTTTACATAGACAGATAGTAAAAACAAAACTCTACATTTCTACATCATTTGATCATCATTCAACTAATACCGTAATAATAATATTCTGATGAATATTATTTTTGTGTAAACTTAACTGACGGATGAGATCTATTAATAACTATATTTTATGTTTCAATTTTCAATCAACTTATGAATTATGTTGAAAAGAAAAATATACCAGAAAATGCAGCGTAAAAAGTTCTATCTATAATTCATAAAAAACCATTTACTTTACATATTCAACAAGAAGAAAAAGGTTTTCGCTGTGTGGGAGTGAATAATTTTTTCGAAGCAGCAAAAATTTATCATACAGGATTTTATTATTTTTTGAATACAAAAAGTAAATAGTTAAAATAAAGTTTATTTTATAAATTCTGGGGTCTTTCACGGTGCACCTCATAATATACATTTTTTTTAATGAAAGATATCAGGTAACACCCTTTTCATGCTGCATCTTCCGGTATATTTTTCTTTTCAACATAATTCATACGATGATTGAAAATTGAAACATAGAATATAGTTATTGATACCCAGGACGCTCATTCCGACCATCGGAAACGACATCTGAAACGGCCTAAAACGGCGTTTTACTGACTTATTTTTAGTCTTATTTCACCGTAATCCGTCAACCCAGAACACGGGCCGTTTTTTCACTTAAAACCGGCCGTCGTTTTCCCCCTTATTTCTATACATTTCTGGATCGACGTTTTAGGACCGTATTTTACCGGTTTGCCACATTTAAGGCCGTTTACATCGCCGTTGTCTTTGCCCTGGGTAGATCTCATCCGTCAGTTAAGTTTACACAAAAATAATATTCATCAGAATATTATTATTATGATATTAGTTGAATGATGATCAAATGGTATAGAAATGTAGAGTTTAGTTTTTACTATCTGTCTATGTAAAAAGAAAACTTTTTGAAGCATTCTATAAGAATTTGATATCGCTCTATAAAGACTTGATATGTCCTAAGTAATACCAATTACTTCTTTGAAATAGTCTTTTTCAGTCATGGGAAAATAATATCGTTATAAGATGAACTATAAATAAAAAGAAAAAACGAAACATTTTTAAATCATCGTCAAGTTTGATGAATATGAGCTAATTTTATATTTTTCTCGTCTATTTCGTTCATAGATGAATGTTCAATCGTCATGTTTTGAGATATATCGTCTGTATATAATATGCCGGCTGAGTATTAGTTTATATCTTATACTCTTATTTATTTTTCTCCTCTAAGAAACATTTTTTCGTTCAATATGGCAGAAAAAGAAGTAAATTATATTTAAATTATCTGAAAATTTCTTATACTATTATTAATTGATATAAAATGTTTTTTTTTGTATTTAGGAAAACATTAATAACGTGGATGAACAAATCGAAAATCTGTTTAAGGCATTTGAAAATGGAACTTTAAATAAACAACAATATCTTGATGAACTCAAAAAGTTTTTTAAAAAAAAGGATTAAAATTTTTTATTGTTACTCTTCATAGACTTGATTGTTATATTCATTTCTTTGATCAAGTTTATTATTAATAAAAAGATATTTTCATTTTTAATAATATTTTTCCTTTTGGTACATTCAAATTGAGTTATCTAAAGGTACTATTGCCTCATAAGGAAAGTTTTAAAACACAACAAAATTTAACATTCTGAATTTTTTAATAAGAATCAGTAGAGTAGTTTATTATTAGACTTTTGATTTAAATATACAAAAAAAGAAATGCATCTTCACTTTCGATATTTAAATTATTTTAGGATGAAATCTTTCGAGTAAAATCCATAAATGATAATATTCAAATCGATAAAGAATTTTGTAGTCTTAGTATTTTTCTATACCACGTGTCCTTCTCTTCAAACAAAACATATCATTAATACTTTACAAAAACAGATTTATATAAGAAAAAGAAAAAAAGAAAAAGAATCACTGGTAAGCATACGTGAAAAACAACAAGTAAAGAAAAATAGAGGAGAAAGTTAACGAGAACATTCACCCCGTCCTCGTCGTACGCATAGAACGGAGAAAAACAAATTTACGTTTGTTTATGAAAATGTCCTGATAGTCAGAGTCACTAGCAAAAAAAAATGTTTTTATGTACTTGCATTCTACTAGCTGTACTTTTTATTTTAATTATTGCGTATTTATGGCATATTCGATCGACGTACGAATTTTTCATAAAACTTAATATCCCTGGCCCACCACCTGTACTTTTTTTTGGAAATTTTCTCGATATTATCAAAAGTAAACGATCATCTTTGAGTATTCATAAATGGACACAAAAATATGGTCGTATTTTTGGTTATTTCGAAGGACATTCACCTATCTTAGTTGTATCTGATCCAGATGTTCTACAAGATGTATTTATTAAATCATTCTCAAATTTTCATTCTCGACGTTCATTTCCATTGGAGAAACGAGATGGCAGAGATGTTCATCTTTTCGGAGCTACTGGTCTACGTTGGAAACGACAACGATTTGTTATTAATCCTACATTTTCATCTGCTAAACTCAAACAAATGTCACCATTAATTCATCAAAGTATTGATGTGTTGATGGAAAAATTATCTGATGAATATAAAAAAGGAGAACCATTTGATATATATGCATATCTTAAACGATTTACTATGGATACAATATGGTCATGTGGTTTTGGTGTTGATACAGATATGCAAAATAATATCAACGATCCGTATCTTACTCATTCGCAGGATATTTTTAAGCCACAATTTCGATTAAATGTTATTCTTGCTTTATTTATTACGGAACTAAAGCTTTTCTGGGTAAAATTAGACGAAGTACAAAGTGCCATTCGAAATTGGATTCGTCATCATATTCCTATAACAAAAACATTTATTAGTTCAAGTCCAGTAAAATGGATTATGAAAGAAGCAAAGAAGGTCATTGATAAACGTCAACTCATTGGTCAAACAAATCGAACTGATTTATTACAATTAATGCTTGAATCAGCAACCGATAAAGATATTATTCATGTATAAAATATTATTTTTATTTTGAAAACTAACCAGAATATTTATTTAGGATCGTCGAGCATCATTTGTTACGAACGATGACACAGGTGTTGAAATGCCACTTATTCGAAAACTTACTAAACATGAAATTGCATCGAATGTTTTTCTCTTTAGTAAGTTATATTTATTATATCTGTTCTCTCAACTTTTTTCCATATCTTAGTGATTGCTGGATATGAAACAACAAGTACAGCACTTAGTTATGTTACTTATGTTCTTGCAACTCATCCAGAAGAACAACAGAAATTACAAGAACATATCGATGCACATTTTAATCCTGAAAATGAACATGATATGCCATCTTATGATACTATTTCACAAATGGATTATTTAGATATGTTTATTCGAGAAACACTTCGAATGTATCCGATTGTACCAATAGCTATTAATCGTCAAAGTACAGAAGATTTTCAAATCAAAGGTATTGGTACAATTCCAGCTGGTACAATTATTGGTATTGACATGCTTACTTTACATTTTGATAATGATTTGTGGGGTCCCGTTGATCCGCATGTCTTTTATCCTGAACGATTTGCTACTAAACGTCATCCAATGGCATGGATACCATTTGGCGCAGGACCACGTAATTGTGTTGGAATGCGTTTTGCTTTAATGGAAATGAAAATGACTCTTATTCGTCTACTCAAATTATATTCATTAGTTAGTTGTGGTGATAAAACAGAAAAAGCATTTAAAAATTTACATGAAGCTTTTGTTATTGCTCCTTCCGAAGCTATTATACGTTTAGAACGTCGTAATGAACATCATGACTAATTATAATAATTTTTAAAAACTTTCTTTTTCCAGCATCAATGAATAATCACAAAGAAAAACAATTTATTAAAACACTAAAAGATGTTATCAGTTCAATAATAGCGCATTTTTTAAAAAAAAAGAAAATTCAAATAGTTCAAACTTTTTCCGTATTTGTAATAGAATTTCGTACTTTTGTTCCATTATTTATTTGTTTATGATGATTAACTGCATGAAAAGTTAAACAACCAGCATGTAAAATAAGTAAAACATCTGTTGTTAAAAACCCCACACTCCATGCTAGTTATGAAAAAAACATAATATATTAATGAATATTTTCTATAATAGATAAAATACTTACGCCATGGTCTGTATTGAATTGCTTTTTTTTCACCTTCTGGTCCAATAGCCCAGACTTTTTTATTTCCTCCATCAGTCACAATAACACCATGACTAACTGAATCAAGAATCAAACGATTCATATTATCAACATTGATTTCATATAAATCAATTCGACGAACCAGTTGACCTATTTCGAAAACAAGAAAGAAGATTTTTTGTTAATCTATTCAATTTTAATTTACCATTTTTTTGTCTTTTTTCAAGAAAATATCTTGCTGGTTCACGTTCACGTCTTTTTCCTAATATATAACAACATTGGCTATCGACAACTAAACTTCGTATTTCAACACCAGATTCAAATGTTATTTGTAATTGTAATTCATGATCAAAGACAGATATTTTCGATTTATTACAACCTTTTTCTGATGCATAAAAAATAAATTGTGTATCTGACGCAACACGTTGACAATTAAGACCACG